AATTGGAAACAAGAGTCCTGGGACTTTCCTGCCTGGATGGCTTTGAACTGCGGTCCTCAGAACTCAGGAGGTAGGTTCACAGGTGTATCCACCAGCGCCCGACCAATGCTATTCTTTGAATAAAATGGCCTATTTTAGTTTAAATAAGAAATCCTGAACATGTCTGGTAACTTTGCTCATATTACTTACAAATTCAGATTGCAGAATTTGTATCTCAGGACTGTCACTTAGGCTGGTGATAGCATTTCCAAAATTGAGTTTTCAGGAAACAAAGTAATCAGTTATGACATGAGCATATTACCATGCACTTAAATCTTAGTCCTAGCTGGAGGGGACTGAGAGAAATATACCATACCACTGCAGAGATGTATAGGGAGAGGCAGAGGGAAGGTTCGCAGAAATGAGATGACATCAGCTGTTTCTGGCCACCATGTCCACAATCCCAGGACTACAGATACAGAATCTGACGCTCCCTGCTCCCACTCTTCCACCCTAGCTTGCAGTCAATGACTGTGCATGCTGAGGATCACACTCTTTCTGACTTGTTTTGAGGCTCATAAGGGATCATAGTTAATATTTCGTGATTGGCCTTGAGGCTATATCTGTGTCCAGAGCCACGCTCTCATTTGTAACAATGCATTTAACGTTCAGATCACTTTAATTCCATCATCATGTTAATAAAGAGGGCTGATGGCTGACTAGGCCCACAGTTCTGGGCTTTCGTTTCCTTGTCCGCAGGAGAGGTTGTGGCTCACTCAGAATGAGCTGGAGTCTCCCTCCCTTGCTGCTCCATGCCTCCGGCAAGCAGACTGTGAGTGGACAGGTCATTCTGCAGAAATATCAACGAGCATCGGGGCCCATCGCGCTTTCCTTCAAATTACAGACAGTGGAACTTCCAAGGGGGCTCTCTCGTGTTCTTCTAAGTGATTAAGAGTAGGAAATCTGCACGTGCTCAGTGTAGCTACTTCCCAAGTGCCCGGGATCCTGCGGCATCTCGAGATGTCTCCAGGGCTGGCTCTGGTCCACGGGCCTTCCCATAGGCACGGCAGACTCAGGATCAGGGACTCGGCTGGCCGCCGGCAGCCAGTAGCTCTGTGCTCTAGGCTGGGCCTCCACACACTCCCGCAAGGCGGCAAGGCGGGGTGCCTCCAGCATCCCAGCGTGACAAGAGGCAAAGTCAGACAACGCCGTCAAGGCCACACTGGACTCATCTTCCCGCCTTGCCGACCTTTTACTACAGCAAGGTCTTCAGAATATGTGGTTGATTTTAATTAAACCTACTGAACTTAAAGAAGGAAACTGTTTTTATTAGATCAGGCTGAGCTCAGGCTGGCCAGGGCCGTGCTCGGGGACTCGAGCCCCCCACCCGCCCCGCCCCCATACACAAATGTGCGTTCATCCCATCACACATGAGCAAGATGTCAGAGAACACTGAGGGGAGGAAAAGGAACGAGTACTGGAGGCCCCCAACCTCAAAGAGCTCACGGGGAGCAGTTCACGGCGCACTGTAAGAACAGATCCTGGCCCCCTGTAAGAACAGTTCATGGTGCACTGTAAGACCAGATCCTGGCCCGCTGTAAGAACAGTTCACGGCGCACTGTAGGAACCGTTCACAGCACGACGTACGAACAGTTCACAGCATGCTGTAAGAACAGTTCACGGTGTGCTCTAAGAACAGTTCACAGCATGCTGTAACAACACAAGCGTTACCTGTGCAGAAAGGGGAGAGATCGATCAAGACACATCATAGTCATAATCTGCTTTGTTAAATGGCAAAAAGAAGCATGCTATATGGAAGCACATAAGTCTGTTCTAGGAGATACATATATATGCACTTATATACTTACTATCTCTAAGTAGTTGTATAAAGGATTGCCGTTTAACAAGGCAGTTCATGAATACAGTATGTCTTGACTGATGACACCTCTTTCAGCATTCCTCACCCATCCCAACCCTCCACACCCTTGCCCTCACTCTTCTTAATTTTGTAGGATATACACTGGATTCTGGACTGTATTACCTCCTCTTCTCATCCATTTCCCCTTGACCCCATTCCACCCCTTACAAGTACCTGCTTCCTGATGTTGATTTTGTTGAACGTTGACTTTGCCTTTCTAAGGAATTATACTACGTAAGATCGCCCTTGAGCCTATCATATTTCAGTTAATACATACGTATATGTGTACATACCACCTAATGCATTCAGCGTCCACATATGAGGGAAAACATGTAAACTTTGTCTCTCTTGGCATGGCTTACCTAACCCAATTTTTTCCAGAGCTTTCCATTTCTTTATAAAGGGCACAATATTGTTCTTTCTGAACAGGTCCGCATCAAACTAAAATACTTCTGCCTGACACAGAACCAGCCAACAAGCTGAACAGTCCACAGAATGGGAGAATTTTGCCAGCTACATAACAGAAGGTAGTCTAATACCAGAATAAACAGAGAACTGCACAAATTAAATCCTCAAAAAATAGGCAAGCCAATTAATAATTAGGCTAATGAGCTAAAGACAGTCTTCTCAGAGAGATATAGGAAGAAATGTTCCACCTCTATGGCTATAAAAGAACTAAACCAAAACAACACTGAGATTCTACCTCACCCCAGCTAGAATGGCCATTATCAAGAAAACAAATGATTACAGATACTACTGACAAGGAAGCAGCCAAAAGGGAACACTAATACACTAGTGGTGAGAATATAATTGTGTTCAACCACACTGGAGTTTCTCAAAAGACTAAACATAGAACTTCCCTGACCAAGCAATTCCACTCCTGGGCATTTATCCCAAAGATTCCAACTGAGGATACAGTAAAGTCACCAGTACCACCATGTTGATTGCAGCAATAATCACTATAGCCACGGTATGGAATTAGCCCAGATGCCCCTTAGTGGAGAAATGGATCAAGAAAATGTGATACACACACACACACACTCCACATACTCAGGAAACAGATGTTTACAAACACGTGTGAATTAACCTATTTGTTCCAAGTTGGCCCCATGGTGGGATTATTTTTTTCTCGCTTGCCAAGGCCTTTGCATATATCAATACCAATCAATAGAACCAGTGTTCATTAAAGTCGGATCAGGTAACATATTTGAAAAGTTCACAGAGAGTTCTGGGCTGTTAGAAGATCTGGATTGGATCTCAGCCACACAACTCCCTACAAGAAGCAAAAAGCATTTCTACATATGAAGAAAAAGAAAAAGAACAAGATGACCATGTTGAAAAGTTCATTGACTTGGACATCAAATACCAAAGGACACATGGCTGTCACCTGCACCATTTATCTCATTTTTTAAGCCAAATGGAGATTCAGATACCAAATAAGAAAATATAAATTACCAAGTGCATGGATAGAGAGCATCATGCAGAAGAAACAGCCCCTAGCAAAGACATACAACCCATTCTTCCAGGACTTTTTGAACATTTCCTGAGAGTGAAATTCTTAAGGATTCGCTCAAAGAAAAATTAAGAAAGAAACCCTATGGCATCCATTGTTTCTAACATGTCATGCCTAAAAGTTGATCATTAGGTTTCCATTTCTAGGGTCCCTTTAATGGTATCATCACAAACATGACAACCACACCAAGGCCATTTTAGTTCAGCCACTCTGCCTTCCTCAGGGGTGATTTCCCCTGCTGAGTGGGACTCATGTGGTCCATCTCCTGGGCTGACAGCATAGAAGTTGGACAATGGCCCTGGGGTGATGATCAACTCTGATGAACTCCACTTGCTCTACTGTCAAAGAGAGGCCTCAGCTCGGATGGGTATTCTCAGAACTTTCTGCTAAAAATACCAGCTTTGAAACTTCTGTGTCCCAGCATGGGAAGCGGGAGGTATGCGATCACCGGATTACAAAGCATAGGCCTGCTTTAGATCTTCTTCTCTTTTTTTTTTTTGCCAGTTGTGGGGCCTGAACTCTGGGCTTGGGCGCTGTCCCTCAGCTCTTCAGCTCAAGACTAGCACTCTACCACTTGAGCCACAGCACCACTTCTGGCTTTTTCTGCTTATGTGGTTCTAAGGAATCAAACCCCAGGCCTCACGCATACAAGGCCAGCACTCTACCACTGAGCCACCTTCTTAGTCCCTGTTTTAGATCTTTTAAGCATCATAATTAACTAGTTACCTTTAGTTATCCAAACCATATAGTTCGCTCCTCTTTGTAACTAAAAACATTGTAAACATTAGTTAAAATACCTTGAAAACATAGCTTTTATATCTTCCGCTCTTGCATCTTCGTCATTTATACCTTTAAAATTTTTCATATTGATTTACATACTTATAGTAACATGATAGGACATAGGTTAAAACTCTGAACTTCAGAAAATGTCCTGGCCCCAATAGCTCATAGTAATGTGATGCTGGGTGAATTCACAAGTTTCCTGTGGTTTGGAGGTGGCCCAGGGGTCCAGTGCCTGTCTAGTAAGCACAGGTCCTGAGTACCCCCCCCCAAAAAAAAAGGTTCAAGTTACTTATGTTTGTTTTATCTGGGAAGTTAATGGACAACAGAAAATGACTGGTACATCCAATTGTTTTATGTTTGTGTGTGTCTGTTCATTCATGTGCATGATTATAAGAGATCATATGTATGTATGTATATGAATATCGATGACTTTATTACTAACCATAACAACACTATCTTGAAATTTTTCATAAAAATGTTGTTTCGTTTATTCAGCATATATCACACTACAAACACTATTTTCAAACCCAGAAACTCTTAATCAACCTAAGATATTTACATTTTAGGCCTATTTATTGAATTATCAGAGCAAGAATGTCTGTAAGTAGCTAACTTTACAATTACTGCTTCTCTAGAATGAATTCACTGAGGATCCAGCACAGAATTAAGGTGTAACTTAGAACACAGCCAGAAAATGAAAAGAAAAGCAGTACATTAAAAAAACAAAGCTTGCACACACTGAAAGCTAAGTAACGGACGTACAGACAAGATGGAGAGCCCGCAGGGCCGCCCGGCCGCAGTACTCACTGGTGTAGGTGAGCTGGAAGCCCTGGGCCGTGTCTGAGCCATTGGTGTTGAACTCCAGCCACAGGTGGTTGGACGTGCTGGTGAGAACCTGCCCCAGCAGCTCGGTCTTCGTGAAGGCTCCCAGCAGGCGGGATGAGCTGTCCTTTCCGTCATAAACCTAGGCAAAGTTCACGGCATGAGTCCCCCATTTTCCCAGACTGTATTCCTCAGGCGCAATTTTAGCTTTAAGGAGAGACTTCATTCAGTGCTTATACAGCTAGTACCATGACAAGCTGCTAGCTGGTGCCTGTGGCTCACACCTGTCATCCCAGCTGCTCAGGAGACTGACATCTGAGGACCACAGTTCAAAGCCAGCCTGGGAAGAAATGTCCGTGAGATTCTTATCTACAATAAGCCACTAGAACACTGAAGTGGCGCTGTGGCTCAAAGTGGTAGAGTGCTAGTCTTGGGCAAAAGAGGGACAGTGCCAGGCCCTGAGTTCAAAGATAAAACAAAACAACAACAACAACAAACAAGGAAAAGCACAAGCAGATGACAGTGATAAATAGCCTATTGTACTATTTGTGGTTCTTCTTTTTTTTTAACTTTTTTCTTTGGTTTCTTCCCTTTGTCCATGTTTTTGATTTCGGTACACTTTGTCTTGTATGTAAGTTTGTCTGATTTGGGGAGGGTCAAAGGGTGAATTAATTCATCAGTGATACTCATTAGACACTGTGTTGGAAATGAACTATGGAACTTGCTGGGAGGAGGAGGGTTGGGAGGGGGAAACCTGGGAGAAATTGAGGGAGGGGGTGACACTGTTCAAAAGAAAACGTGCTTATTACCTGATTTATATAACTGCCACCCCTCTGTACATCACCTTTACAACAAAATTTTCTAAAAATTAAAAAGAAATACAAAGGGCAAACAAAGGTAGGAAGGTTCAAGGTGTGGCCTGACTGACCACAGAAGAAAAGCGAGGTAACTGTGCTAGTCCGAGAGCAGAGGCTGAGCCCCCGGGTGCGCTGTGCAGCCTGACTGACCACGGAGGGAAAGCGAGGTAACTGTGCTCGTCCGAGAGCGGAGGCTGAGCCCCCGGGTGCGCTGTGCAGCCTGACTGACCACGGAGGGAAAGCGAGGTAACTGTGCTCATCCGGGAGCGGAGGCTGAGCCCCACAATGCGCTGTGCAGCCTGACTGACCACAGAGGGAAAGCGAGGTAACTGTGCTCGTCCGGGAGCGGAGGCTGAGCCCCCGGGTGTGCTGTGCAGCCTGACTGACCACACAGGGAAAGTGAGGTAACTGTGCTCGTCCGAGAGCGGAGGCTGAGCCCCACGATGCGCTGTGCGGGCGCCTGCTATCATCAGCCTGCCGGCGTACACAAGGACTTACTGTCTGCACTGCAAACCCTCTTCTGTTGTCCTGCATTTGTGCAAGTATAGGAGTTGTGTGGGGGATGCGGGAACTGCGGTTGTGTTCCTGGGAAGGGCTGGCAGTCTACCACTTGAGCTACCCCTCAATTCTGACTTTTTGTTGGTTATTTGGAAACAAGAGTTTCTCTGTTCTGGCTGCCTGGATTTGTTTTGAACCAAGATTCTCAGATCTCAGCCTCCTGAGAAGCTAGGATTCTTGGTGTGAGCCACTGGCACTGGGCCAACTTGAAACACTTTTAACAAATAGCTATTAATCAGCATATTCAACAAATATCGACTAAAAGACATTCAGACATTTTACATGAGCAATAGTTTCCTTGCAATTAACTGCTATAAAGAAAAAATGTTGTTTTTTCTCTTTTTTACATTCTGTTTTAATAAGCACACTTAAGCTACATGCAATCAAAACTGAACATAATTTTCGTCCTTCCATTTCAGTAGTATTTATTGGTATATACTTGATGTGGTCATTTCAATCACTTGCTTACTCTGGGAATAGTTAGGTTTTTAGTGAAAGCTTGCTTTAAAGACTTACTGACATAACTTGGCAGCAATCAAATAAGTCAGAAAATTTTTACATATGACCTAACTTTATAATTGCTTTAGATTAGTGAGAATATGCTGGTTCTCTGATTGAAGGCTGTTCTTAATTATAGCCTTTCATGCTGTCCGTATGAGCTTTCAAATAACTATTAGTGAAAGAATAACTAGAATTAAAAAAACCTCCACTAAATTATGACACTGAAAACTGTCAAGATTGGACTGAGGAGGAATAAGACAGTACCCTGGGCATCTCCCCGGACCAGCCGGGTCACTTCTAACGATGCTCAGCACGTGTGCTGGAAGGGCACCCCGAGTCTCCCTGTTACTGCCCAGCTGTCTTCATGGGGTCTGGACTTTTCTGTGAGCTGAGCAAGGCACCATGTAAGTCACCATGTGAGACTGTGGGGGTCCCTGTGTGAGTCGCTGTGTGAGTCCGTGAGTCACTGTGTGAGGCAGTGTGTGAGCCACTGTGTGAGTCAGTGTGTGAGCCACTGTGTGAGTCACTGTGTGAGCCACTGTGTGAGTCAGTGTGTGAGTCACTGTGAGTCAATGTGAGTCACTGTGTGAGTCAGTGTGTGAGTCAGTGTGTGAGTCACTGTG